GTCAATCTTACTCTGTATTTATCGCATTCTGTTGACATTTATCAAACTTGTTATACTAGTACAGTTATTTTCCAGACAATCAGGAAGAGATTTGGTGTTAAGATGTTTAAAACTTATGCTATGGCCAATTTAAGACCAGAAATTGGCATAAAATCTACGTTATGCTGTTGCACTTGAAAAATGCCAGTTTTTGAAATGTGCTTTTAAGTAATTTGGGAACAAAAAAATAGAATGAAAAGATTTGCAATATGTTCAGACATGCTCAGTCTGATATTTTTTGCAAAAAACCTGATGATGATTGGAAATTTCTCTTTTCTAGAGCGCATTTATCAATATGTTGTACACGTTATGTAAAATTCATAAATTAACACATTGCAATTAACTTATCTCCCTGTACTAAAAAGGATGGTGATAGAACTGGCCATTTTGCATGTTATGCAAGGTACATCCATATATGACACAAAACATGTGTTTTTATGTTGCTTGTCCTTTGGGTTAATATGGCTGATGGCTTACAGTTACCTGTCTTTTTTGTCCGAGAAAATGTGTAGTGTCCGTTGCTCGGTAATAACTTAAAATAGAAAAGCTGTGGGTGCATATGATTTCAGGTTCTGAAACAGCTGAAGATGCTGAACTTAAAACACAGTAGCTTATTTCAGTCTATTGCTGTAATTATATAGAAATAATGTACAAAAAACCTCAAGGGTGTAGTGTCCGTTGCCATGTAGTGTCCGTTGCCAAGTATACCATATAGGTACATTAATTACATTTTGTTGCAATTTTGAAGTAATTTTGTCATTTATGTTACTTCTGTAGCATTTTGTCAACCCCTAAATGACAGGTCTTGCAAGATTTGGTGTTCTTGTCATGTACTTGAGTGGCCAGATGTGGCCGGCAACGGACACTACAGCTTACTACAGCTTAGCTGTAGTGTCCGTTGCCGGCCACATCTGAAATGAGTGGGCTAAGCTTGGAAGAGCACAACTTTTGAACCAAACGTCTCCATCCAAAAATTTAAAAAGTGCAATGTATGGCAACACCTCTAGTGCGATTTTCTGCACTGAAAGTAGAAAAATATAAAACTTGAAAAATTGGCCCAAGTGCAACCCTTTGGCGCACCCTGATCTCGGAATAGCCGATTGATAAACCAACAGGAAAACAATTGATCTACATAGCCAAGCTGCTATCTATCAGCTACATGCAAACAGGATGTTGGAAATCCTACAAGATACAAATCTACAAGGAAGGGAATGTAAGGAAGCCACTAACCGGTTGCAGTACCAGTCTGTGTGCCCGTCACCTGTTCACTGCCTGGCAACGACCTCTCACTTTCTGCCCCAGTTCCTTGAGAAGTAGCTAGCAGCACAGAGAGGCGGAAATGTTGAACATAGAAGCAAGCTGAAGCTAATTTACATTTTATATCCTTGCCCTGCTATACAAAAAGATATGAAGGTGACAATAGCATTAAAACTTTTGGCAACTACCTGTCTCACTCCTGCTTCTGCTAGTTGAAGACCCTTGTTTCTTTCTTTGTCTTCTTCCTCTTTTGTCTTGTTCCCACTTGCTGTAGTAACTCCCCATCTCATCACCACTGCTAGTGTCAGCTGTGTCTCTGGTTCCTACAGCAATCAGGCCTGAGACAATACACAGGATCTGTCAACATCAGACCAATGTTGGATTCACAAGTTCATCACAACACCTTAAAATCTGGTCCTGACAAGTTAACGATGTAGAAGAATCCTAACCTGGCTGTTTAGGGACATATTCTGGTACCACCAGCTGGAAGCGCCACTGAGCCTCATTAATGCACTGGTCCAGCCTGGAGATCCTTTGCTGCAGGGAGCTCTCTGTGATGGAGGAGGACACACACTTCAGGAGGTCCTCATCTGGGCAGGTGGGGAAATCAGAATATAGGATAAGCTCTCTCAATATAGCTGAAAACTGTACAGGAAGTTTGGTCAATATGATTGTAATGTCAATCTCTTTAAGTGCGCAATTGAACAAAACAGTTAAGAATTTCTTATGGCTAGGTACTTAAATTATAAGGGACTGAATATACCTTCCAAGTTCCAACTCACCTTCTATGTTCTGGCCCTGCCCTAGCTTGGCAAACTTGGCAGACTTAAGATTGAGGAAGCATTCCTTCAGCACGGCTAGGACGTCCCGTACCAAACATTCATCCATGAGGAACCCCAGCCTGGGAACCTCCCGGGTCCAGCCGTCCCCACTCCTCCCACTGCTGTGTCCTGACAGGCCGTTTTTATCCTCACTAGCTGGTTCTGCAATGTCTGACAAACTAGGATGATGGTCCTTGTTGTTGACCTTTTTCCTCTTTGTTTTTGTGGTGGGTTCTTCTTTACCTGTAGCTTCTTCCTTACTTCCAGGGACTGTGGCTTCTTTTCCTATAGCTATCCCCTCACTTGCTGGGAGTATGGCATCTAACACTGTTCCCTGTACATTTGGCTTCCATGTGGTATTAGTCTCTGTTAGCACTCTGTACACCTCCGTGCTAGATACCATCTCCATACTGCTGTCTAGGGAGGGAGGACAGCTGAGCAGAGACTCCCTTCTGGACCCACGGTTTGTCCTGTCCAGTTCATACTGCCCCTCCTCCCCTCCACTGTCCGACAGAACTGACCTGTCATCAAGCAGGTCATCATGGGTGACAAACAGCAGGGAGAAGATATTCTCCAGAACCTCAGCACGGAAGGTCAGGGGTTGGATCTGGGACAGGTGGTCCTTCCCCACCTCCAGGTTCTTTGTGACATGTTTGGCATACATCTCCTCCATCTGTGCAGCAGGTTGGGTGTTGCTGTTGTGACTTCCTGCAGATACACTGCTGCTGGCCCTGGCTTTCATCCCCAGGTCCTGGCCATGCAGGATGGCATCCATGAAACATCTTATGGCACAGTAACCCCTGGAAACACATGCAAGTATATGTTACACTAACTACTGAAATCAAACAATTGATATACATTTCATATTATCAGCAAACTGTGGTACATACTGTAAGTTACTGTCACAGTATTTCAACTTTTTGGAAAATGATCAACCCATCAGAGAAAATCAAGTCCTGGGTTTCAGAACCTTGAAAAGTTTGAAATATGCTTAAAATGTATTTTCTGCACGATTACTGAAGTGATAAAAAGATAAAGGAGCCTACCTGTATATGGAAATGTCCCTCTGTTGCTGCAGACTTTGTGGACCTTCAGAAAGGGAGATGTCCTCAGCACTGTCATCATCCACAGGTGCAAACCTCACTATCTTCTTGGAAGAGTTTTCTAAAAGTACAGATGTCAACATACTGTTAGGCCAAGCTGAATGATACATACATCACCCTACATTCATGTGATGATTTTCAATTTGATGTACCGGTACACTTCACCTATCATCAATGGGTTTAGTGAACCTGTATGCTAATGAGGCATATCCATTTCTTAATAGCATTTATCTCATAGGTAATTTGTTGGTAAATGGTTACATGATTTGATTCTATAGATTCTCAAGATGACGCATCCTAGTACACGTCAGGTAAGGTTCTGCTTCTCTGTACCTCCTGTCGGCAGTGACGGCTGCTTGTGCAGCAGGTCCAGCACCTCCTGCTGGTTGAGACTGGCCAGACTGGTGGCCTGGTGCAGCATGAACAGGACGGAGTGAGACTCCAGACCCTGGAACAGCTGACTGGCTCTGTCGTGGTGGGTGATGGGGGCTCCACTCTCAATCACCAGGGGCCTGTGGAGATCATTACAGTCGTTGAGAAATGAAACATCCAGATTCATCTAGCTAAAATCATTGAAATGCTTATTGTAGACAAAAGGTATGATAAAGATAAGAAAGCATCAACAGCTACTGATCATGCTTTCACAGATACTGTAATAGTACTGACCTGGTTTTGTCCAGGCACCATTGCACCAGCTGTACTTGATAAGCCAGGTTCCTACAAGCCTGGGACAGTACAGGCTGGCTCTTCATCATCTCACTCTGCTCACTCAGGTCCTGTAAACAGGGAGAACAGTATGGCCATACATGTAGAATACTGTAGCTGTGATAGATTGTAACAGATGGAAGGTAAAGCACATGATGCCAATTTTTTAAACCTTTTCATCAGTATAGTGGTAGAAATACGATGTGGAGGCTGGATCCATGCACATACATGAAATCTATCATAAATGATTATAAAACTTTTACATGGAAATTCAAACAGGTTGTATGTTCTGGGGTGAGTGAAAGAGGATCTCTGATGAGTAGGACAGATGTGCCTCTGACCTGACTGTTCCACAGCCCGTCCATGAGTCTGGAGATGTTGTTGCAGCCGTAGCAGTGGTTCAACCCAAGGAGCAGGACCAGGGGGCACAGTGGATGGAACTCTGCTGGTGCCAACAGGGTAGCCAGCTCATCAAACTGACCAGCTTTTGCAAGATTCACTGCCGTATCCTGTTGGCAAAATACACAGTTCATTACAATGTACATGTAGCAAATTATACCTTATATGCTATAGATTGAAAACCATGGCAGCACGAATTTCCAACATATATAACATATGTCATTTATATGATACAAAAGATAGAGCAATGGCAAAACAGTTGTTAGTTACATTTGTACCTACCACAACATCTTCCAGGATGTGTCTCTGGCCCTGGAGACACCTGAAGAACAAGTTCTGCCATACAGCCCTCCTGTCGTCCCCCATCATCATAGCCATGGTGACAGCTTGGTCATCAGTCTCATCTTTAGCAGACTCTCCCGACACACTCACTCTCTCAACATATCTTTGTCTACTAGTCCTTAGCCTCATTTCATTTTCAACAGCAGCTAGTTCCTCCAACAGGAATGAGTCTTGCCTCCCCAGGAGACAGGAGTTTATTGCACTAAGTTTCAGACATAGCTGGTCTCTGCTTACAGAGCTGAGCAGCTCAGTGAACAGGTCCTGAAGTTTCAGGTCCACCATGTCTCTTGAAGGGTTCATCAGAGCAAGTATGTCATAAAGGTGTCTACAAATGTCACGTGATCTTTCTATATGATCTTCATCTTCTTTCATGTTCTTCAAAGTTTCGAGATCTTCAAATATACAGTCTATATACAGTTTCTGTAAGGCTTGGTTGTGTTGCAGGTACATCTCCCTGTCCTCTGCCACAGTGAGGTGTGCTAGAATGGCATGTCCCAGAGCAGGTTTCTGTTGGAGAACACCCTTAAGGAAGGACAGAGCCTCAGTACTCAGGCCTGTCAGGGTAGCAAGCTGGTGTTCCCGGCTGCTGTCTCTCTTAGTGATGGCACAACAGTGAAACCTGTATATTTCCTATAAGGGGGAACACATTGTTAGAAGTATTGATAAACCTAAACCTTTGGTAAACCTAAAGAGGAACAAGGAAGGATTTACAGCCTAGGATGAACAAGCTTCAAATAACTGTTACTACTACATATAGTACTTTTAATTACAAATACACTCATTTCCACTTGGAAACTTACTAATCCAAGAGAAATTCAAATTACAGCTATATTCATTTTAAGAATGTTCTTAAGACTGCAAAAATATTACCTGCAAGATATTGTCACTTGCTCCCTTCCCAGCCTCAAATATCAAAAGTCGAAACTCTGTGTCCTGATAGATGTCTGTTGGAAGTTGTTCCTGCAAAATGTAATTAACAGGTTGAATTATGTGTGATACAGTACCAAGACATTAATTCACAGGTTTGAATTACAAATAATACTTATCACAGTAAGCCATTGTACTGACCTGAGTTTGTAGCCCTTCAAATTCTGTAATACACATCCAGGACAGGTGATGGGGTGTGGGAACAGACATACCACCACACCTGGGAAAACACACAGTAAGGACAATGGCATCAAGAGGCAACAAACAAAGGTTTGCATAATATGTATTAGTTTTTTTTTCATCTTTGGTTGTATTCCTATTGTTTGTAGCTACAAGAATCTTTCCCCACTAAGCATCAGTGCAACAACTACATATAGCTCATAAACGGTAGCAGGTCATTTCCCCCCCATGCCTTTTCCCCCCCATGTTAGTCTGGTCATTTTCCTGTCAGTGGTTATGACTGCTTAAGTTATTTTTTTCAATCTAAGATAAACGTAGGTTACTATAACTGTTTACAAATTGTAATAGTGCGATATCTGTACTTTTGTTGTAGTTTTTCCCCAGTTTCATAGAATTTTACAGACTAACAAGCCGTCAGTTTCACTGCGGCGGGTGGGGATGCCAGGTTCCCCCACCACTAACACAGCCCAGGCACGGTGTCAAGTTGGAGATTTCAGCGACTGCTTGCTTGTGTTTTAATGTTTAAGTCAGAGACGTTTATGTTTGAACTAGTATATGAGTCGTATGCAAGGCTTGGGATTCTGTGCTGTGGTGAGTCTCTAAATTTCTTACATGCATATCAGTTAGTGCAGGAACTAAATCAAATTATGATATGAGTTTCACTCACTTCTCAATGTTTGTACCAAAAGGTTATTTATCATATATAGTAAGAAATAACACAATCTGACTTGGTTTAATAATGCTTTACACAACAAGTGAAAATACTGCCTATTTTGTGGATGGCATCCAGTCAGTTCTATGCATGGTATGGAATTCAAACTTTGATCTGCATGTTACGGTACAACGTACAATGTACTAAAGTATTATAAAACTAAAATTATGTACTTTGCGACCTTTGTTACTAGTCTAGTATTACCCACGTCGTAATGTGTTTAGCAGACAATTTGACAGCATCAGTATAAAAAAATTGCAATGTTGTTTAAAGTATAGATATTGAGACGTAGCATCATTTTTTTGGTCCCTTTTTTTTACGCCAGGCATCGAAGTTTTGCACGCCCCGCCCCTCGCTCAGTTGGCCAAATCCGGAAGTGGGGAGGGGGGCGTTGCGTTTCAAGTTTTTTTAACACCTACCTTAGATCATAAGGATGATCTGCAATGGCCTTGAGAATATGTTGGATGTTACACGGAGTTTTCTCCCTGTGCGTGTGCAGCTGGTCCACGCAGGCTCGCGCCAGTTCCCACTGACCGAGTGAGACGTTGTTACAGAAGCAGACGAACAGCTGACTGACCGCTACTTCTTCCTCCCGACCGAACGGGTGGGAGAACTTCCCGTCACTGCTCCTCCCTGTCTCCATGTCTGCAGCGCCACGGAGTCTTTACGTGATCGGAGTACTACTTAAAAGGTTGGCGACACGAACGTCGGCCCCTTGGTTTACTCAAAACTACTCAAAGACTCGTAACTTGGCCATGGCGGCGGCCATTTTGAGTCAATCATGTGATGACTAGAACAGATGCATGATGGTCAAAATACACCTGTTCTTAAGTGATGATGTAACCTTAGAATATCCACAATGTATGCTGCTGTCCGTGTCTTGCTTGCAATAAATGTAAATTTGCAATCAAGTTGAACAAAATATCAAATGTACCGTCCAACTATTCCAAATACGTCATAGAAAAGAACTCCATCCATAGAACTACTAAGTCAGCAGTCTCTCATTACTGTGTAATAGTTAGATAAAGTTAATGTTACAATGTAAAAGTTATTTTCTAAGAAAAAAGTCTTATTACATTTGCATATTATATGCAATGCACAAATGAAAAATGACTCAGGAATATCTACTTTAAAAATAGACCTTTTATTCTATTTCACAGTTACATGTTTAAAAATTTGCAAAAAGTAGCTGGATCCTTGGGTGTGCATACACAAATAGGAAACATTAATTGTGTTGACTCTTTAAAAGAAAAGCATGGGCTAGCTCCAAGCATGGTGTATTATTGGTATCTTCTCTTACAACATCCAAGACTTTAACAACTGACTACAGCCTCACCTGTTTCAATATCAAGGTGACTTGAATTGAAATATCAATAGCTGCAGTCTTTGCAGGTGAAAAAATATATCTGCAGGTACAAGGTGAAAAAATTTACCTTTTGGCCAATTTATGATTTCATGTATTCAGATGCTTAATTGTGCTATTTAACTATTGGAGCATAACGGTGAAGTTTACATCAATACCCCAGGCATCATTGCTGAAAGGAATGAATATTCTATCTAACCTTTACACATATGATGAGGACAAAATTGAATACACAGTTACATGATTCATGTGCAAAGAAAAGCAAAATGTAAGCCTTTGCACATATAGAGCAGCCTCCATTGTCCATACATTGAAGAATTAATGCATCTCAAACATATCAATAGTCAAGAAGATGAAGCAACACTTCATCATTTACAAAAGCATTGTATGTAACGTTACAGTATATATTTCAAGCTGTTCACTATCAAATATGATCAAAAATATGTTCTTTGGTCCTTTTATATTTGAATTATCAATGACACATTTATTTGGAACTTAACTGTCACCTTTAGCACTTGACTTGACTTTAGTCTCATAAAATAACACAGACTTTGGACTTTGATGCAAGCTTTTTCTCTGCCTCCTTCAGCCTGTGTTCTTTGTCCTGTAGTTCCCTAAGCAGCTGCTGCTCTCTGTCTTGTAGTTCCTGAAGGAGCTGGTGCTCCCTATTCTGTAGGACATGGGTGGAAGTATCTTTGTCTTGTAGTTCCATTAAGGACTGCTGCTCCTTGTCTTGTAACCTGTGTTCTTTCTCTTGTAGTTCCTTCAGAAGTTGTTGCTCCCTATTCTGTAGCACCTGCAGGTCCTTCTGGTAGTTCTGGGATTGTAATACACGCATTAGGTTAGATATTCTTTCATCATGCGCAGGAAGTTGAATGAGTCTATCTTAAATTTTACCAAATCTGTGTGACAATTATTTTTACCTTCAACTGATTATGGATGAAATTGTTGGACCTTGGAACTGTGTGAACCATTTTCAGACACAGACTTGGAGAATACATATACATGAACATTACCCCCAAATATACAATCATATACATGTTAATGTTATACATGTACTCTAACAGTGTAAGACATGTGCAACACATGGTTGAAGAGGAGGAAGTCAATGATCCTTACTCTTTTACACCACTCCTGCACACCACTCGCTGTGAGCTCCTCCACACTTCCATCTCTCCGTACAAACACCTCTCCATGGGGTGTGGCATACAGACCTTGGTGTCGGTCTGTAGGAGTGTGGACTGTGATGGACAGCACTTTCCTACTGGTAGGGGCATCACCTGATGGTACAGTTACTTTTTAAATCACTTGTCAATTACTGCCGGTAGTTCATTGTATGTTGCAATATTAACTTAAAACTGCAGAGTTAACGTTACATGAACAGGCCATGGCAATGCTGCATTTTTTATTTTCCATGTAAAATTTCTCCTCTGCTCTTCTCTTTTATTAGAAAGAGAACATCATTCATATTAGAACATACCATGTGTTGCTTGTTCCAGGACTGGAGTGAACTTGACACTGTACTGGGACGGGAAGACTTGAGGTCTGAAGCCTTTTATGACACTGTCAATGTCAATCCTGATGCTGTCCTCCCTCCTGTGGTCACAGCTGACACCACACACCTTCCCTGGTCAAACAAAAACACTTTAGGGGTCAGGTCAATGTTACAATGTATGCCACCAAATCAAACATTTAGCAAAGACAAAATTGCAGTTTCTTCATGTTGAAACTGCAGGTAAACTTTTTGCAGGTTAACTTACCATCATCATTGACTCCCACCATCAGTGTTCCACCATCACTGTTCAGAAAAGCACGGGTGTATTTTGCCACAGTTCTTTTCAGATGTTTTTCAAAGAAGTTACCATCTCCTTTCTTGAATTCCAGAGACCTGGTTTCTGCACCAAGAGACTCCCCAAGCAGCAAGTTTTCTGACCTCCTGGCTGACCATTGAATTCTCTGAGTTTCATTTGGAACTTTGCTAAAGTTTAAAAGATCTGGGGGTTGGCTATTGCACTGAACATTTGACGAGGGATAATTTGTTCTACTTTTATGAGCTGCTATCTGATGCTGCTCCAAATTATGTGCTTGCTTCCATTGTCTTCCCATTCCCACAGAGTGCTCTCCATGTTGGTCTTTCTTCAAGTTGACTTTAAGGCGTTTATTCTCTGCTACTATTTGAAGTTGGGAAATCAAAATCAAACTATTTTCAGAAAGCAATGATAGACTTCTAAGTGCCTGCGTTTGCTCTGCTGCATGCTGGAAGTAGATGAAGCCATAAGCCCTTTGGTGTTTCTTTCTCACTTCCACATCTTCTTCTGTTACTTCACTGAAGCCGAGACTTGTCATCAGACATGTCAGACCATGTCTGAGTTCCTCTTTGCTTCGGGATCGATTAAGGTTTCCTACAAACAAACCGTGGCCTTCCGACATGTCAGCTACTATCTTTAAATCATAAAAAAGTTGGTAATGCCATATTTATAATGTCTGGTTTTTGCCAAATCCAGCCTGGTTTTCTTTTGCAGGCTACATGCGTTGATGTGAAAGCAGCTGTTCGAACTTTCAGCACCAAGTAACGATATTAGCTTTTAGCTGTAAAAGCATAAATTCTTCTCCTGTTTCTAAAAAAGTTAACATCAGAAGGTGACAGCAACAACTGGTTCGAAGACCACTTCAACATACAGAAAGGGGTGGGGGGCGACGTGGCAGGGCGCAGCTGAAGTCCGTCCGGTCATATCGGTCACCGTCGCACGTTAACATTAGCCACCGATGTTCGTCAGTTTCCTCCTCAGGTTGTCGAGTATATATAACTTTAACCAAAACGCTACATAGTCGTCAGAATATACTCTACCATTGCCCTAATGGCGAGTGTTTACCCATTCCCTGGGTAAATAGTAACGTTTCAACTTTGACCTCGGATGCCAATTCGGGCTGCAGTACTGCACAAAGATGACAGAGAGCGCTGTGTGTTCAGGCACATTTCTGTGCATCTATTCCATCATTCCATCAGCCCTGTTTGGTACATATAACGTTACCAATAGCTGAGGTTCTCCTACGATTGACACAGATTGAAAACACAACTAGAATGACTTGACAGTATTTCTATCACCATCAACACTATTCCTTAAGAGTAACATTAGAAATGAACTGAATTAACATTCATCTTCCTTGCATCTTCCTTGCCAAAAATAGTTTGAGAATACAAATGTAACGTCACATTGATGGAATTGTTGATAACCAAGGAGGTTGAATGTGATAAATAACAACAGGCAATATCAGTAACAAATGTTTGCTGTTTTTATCTGGACATTTGTTTCATGGTCATAGCTGAGCAACAATCATATACAATATTAGTACTTCAAAATAAACAATATATATTTACATAATATAGAAACATTTTCTTCACATTTCAGTAAATTTTAAGACAAGGCTATTTTTGTAACTTTTTGTACAGTGAGGACAGTTCTATCAGACTATCTTGTAAGCAAAGCAGGAAGTTTATATGCTACATGATTTTAATGCCATTGCTTTTCTAAAGGAATCATAACAGCAGAGCACATTCTTGACATGGATATACAATGTGTCTTTGAATGTCATCTTTGCATTACCTTCTTCTTAAGGCACATTGGGAATACATTTGTAGTAGTTTCCAACTTTAGTACCTCCAGATCAAAAAACAAAAACAATCATTCTCATTTTTAACTGCAATGCATTGTCTCCAGAGAAGGAGAATTGTTAGCTGTTGTATATCATACACAGGTGTAATACAAAATGTACTGCCTAGATATCTTCCAACAGTGTAAAACTCACTAACTCCTTGGGGAGCTCTACCTGCTCCAGCTTCTGAGACAGGCCAGGTGTGCCAAGAGCCTTCCTTAACACACACCGGCTCAGGTTCTTCAGAGAGGGGAGAACAGTTACCTGCTCCTCGATCCACTTCATGGTGTCCACATACTTGACCAGCAGGTCTGAGTGGTGTGGGGGAGACTCGGTTATCTCCATCAGTAGCTCTGCTTTGTACTGGAAGATATGAGCCTTTTCCCTGAAAAGCCTTGCCTCCAGACTGCTGGGGTAGATCACTATTGCCCTGGTGAGGAGGGTGAAGCACTTCCTGAGCTCTCGCAGGTTGCACAGGCAGAGGTTTACCTTCTCTCTATCTGTGTACGCCTCACAAATATTTTCCAGCACCCAGCTCATGAACACATCAAAATGAACCACATCTAACACATTGATTGTAAACTGCCCCATGAAGAATTTAACCGCCTCAACAACTTCCCCTTCAACATTGCTTAGAGTGGAAATACAATGAACAAACTCTGACAGTTTAGGCTTGTACCCATCATCAAACAGCATCTTAAGTGTCATAAGCAGGCTACTCATTTCTATCTGGTCACGCTGATGATATTCCTTCTGAACACATTGCAGAAGGCTCTCATGCAGACTGTGGTTTGCCAGCTTCAGTGAGAGGTTGGCACCATTTTTCAGGAGGGTTCTGATGTTGTTAAAGTTCCTAAAAGCCCTTCTACCATTGTCATCCTCTGTCTGCAGGAGTGCATGGGTGAGGACACTGAAGCCATCGGATGATCTCCTGCCGTTGACATCTGCACCTGCATCCACCAGCACCTGGATACAGCTGTTGTTGTACTTTGTGGTGGCTTCATGGAGCGGCTTGGTCCCAAAAACCTGACAGCAATCACATCATTAATTGGTCATTGTGAGACTGCTGTACTTTCCCAATTATGAATAGGTTATAACCAACACAAACAATTCAATTATTTTATTTCATCACAATTCACTACCCTCTATTAATATTTGACCAAAACTGCATTTAAACTATGAGAGCTAAATTGGAGCTTTGCTGATTCTTCCTTTAGGTCCTTTATGTCAGTAGAACACAGAACCCATCACACTTACAGTACAGTTGGCATTCACTTTGGCACCATGCTGGATGAGCAGCTTCAACATCTCAGGGTGATCTGCAACAACTGCCTGGTACATAGCTGTCCCATACACATCTGGATCTGGAACATCATAGGATAGGAGCAATAATGTTCATTAGTCATTACTGAGCAACAGTCAAATTGTCATCAATCTTGGTTTTCACATTGAGTTGTAAGTCAAAATCCACCATCTGAAAATCTGATTTATTGTTCTATGGTTGCACCATCAAAATTTCAGTTGCATATTTGACCTGAATTTTTTTTGTTATCTTAAATGCTGCACTCCAGAAAGTTGGACCTGGACCTTAAACCCCATCCAGAGACTCTCTCCTACTAACAGTAATAAATTGTCACTGAAGCATGTAGTCATCAGTATAGAGCTTCTATTGCCAACATTGCTATCATTATATATCAATCACCATGGAAAGCTGTCTTGGCTCCATGCTTGAGGAGGATTTCAGCACAGTGCAGACAGTTGGTCATGGCAGCATACACCAGAGCCACACTGGCTGCTGTCACAAAGTTCTCATTTTTCTTCAGGCTGAGAGACAGGCTGCTGAAGTGGTCGGCCAGGTCCTTTTTTCTACTTTCTCTATTTAAGAAATATCATAAAATCATACATGCATATCATAGCGATCATTTGGCAGATTTCTGAATCAATACACAAATTAACACAATCTATCATAAGAAAATTTCTCCAATTTATACATTGTGGCTTTTGCTAATGCACTATGCACCTCCTAGTTTTAAGTCACCATCAATGATACATGTATAACGTTACTGTTATGAACATGGCTATTGATACACCGGGTGTGGATATATACTGTTATACTGGTCAACATCAGACTACCACTATCACATGATCAAAATGGAGTATATTCTCTATTTGTCATGAATGTCATGAATCTGGACCTGGTCATCCACTATTAACGTTAATCTGACCATGATAAGAAAGACATTTTTCTGACCTGATTTTTTTGTCTGGTCTTACACCACCATAAGCTGTCTCTTTGTGAGTTTCACAGTGCACACAGACATCGATGGCATCCTTCAGCTGCTGACTCAGCCTCCTGGTGGGTCTGTCCAACGCGGCCTCACGACTCAGGACCTTGTTCAGGTCCAACTCCAAACAAATCATGGACGACATTTCTGGATCTGTACAATATAATGTAGAATTGTTACTGTAACTTTGTTAAAGTTAAACCTGCTGTTGCATTGTATCGCTCCTGAAACTACTTGGCTCGTTATATTTACTGGCTGTGGGTAACCTAAAGGACTAAACACCATTCGGTAGGATGGAGACTCCCTAAATTGTTCTTGTCAACAAGCCAAAGATGGGAGGTAGATTTAAACCTGAACGTGAGTCAGATCAGTGTTTTAAAAGTCAATTTTTGAAGAAACATTATAAATTGTTAGCGATTCAGCTAACTCCAGAGTGGCACCAGAGTGCGCCAGGGATGATTTTGAACGTAACACTTACTTGGAAAATAAATTGTTGTTTTTGTGAACGCCTTGTACTTCGTTCGTCTCCAGCCCAGGTGCCACGACTCAAGTCCATAGTCCAACTGACCGACCTTTAACACTGGACTGGACTAGTCGGCCTGTTGGGTAAGTGTTGATAATCAAAATTTCATTTAGGCATAATGACTGCTTTACTAAGCATAACTAATAATGTTATATGTATGTAATATACAATACGTATGTATAATGAAGTATTAGTCATTATTCTTATACTTTTAATGTTTTATTTAGTTCAGTTATGTTGACCTGCCTCCCCTGGCAGTAACGTTAATAGACTATTCCAAATGTCCAAAGAATTCAACATGGCGGGACCTTCAAAGAAGAAAATCAAACTCAGCAACGCTGTGGATGAAGACGATGAGAAGTTGCAGTCATTTTTACAGTGGTGTGTCAAGGAAGACTTCCAGGTGAACCCAAAGGTAGGAGATCCTGCAGATATAACTGGAAATGTCAAGAAGGCACACTTTCTCATGTCCATCCCCATGATGAGGGCTATTCCAAGTTCTGAGGGGGTGTGGTTAATCCTTTAAAAGTCTCCCATTTAGTTAGCATGCGTAAATCAATTCAGTTTATGAGCGAAGTGTTTACACTGGACATCTATTAACTTTGTAAGATCCTAAGGTCCTAAAACTTTTATCAATTGTGTTTTGACTTCATTGTCAATAAAATTATCTAGTTCCCCTTCCCTCTGAGTAGAAGTGTTGTAGTCAACATTAGTCAGTAGTCAAAATATTCAGTCAACAAAGCAAGCGGCTTATAAATAACTACAGTACAATGAGTTAGTGATTGTGGCGTAGCATGGCTGAATGACTTTCAAGCCTTATTTATGTGGTAAAGATTTTAAAAGTTGAACTTGATACTCATATTTCCATTCCATGTGATACAGCAAGAAGGTTAAACCTCCTTGGATACAGATGTGACTAGTATGAGTATGACTGAATGAGGGCAAAGCCATGCTAGCCATGATGAGGAAGAAGCGTAATTTATAGTACAAACTTTGAGCCTGCTCGGGGAGTATGAGTATTACTTACTACTGTCTCTATACTTTATCCAATTAAACTTTTCTTGGTGAATGGCAGACTGTGTGATTGATTCTGCTCGCTCATTTTTCAGGCGCCCTCCCTGTGGAAATTAACACATTGCCAGCAATCCAATTGTAGCTATGGTCATTAGCTCGCACTAACAGATAGAGCACTCCCTTGTCCCTTAATTTATGCCACTTACTGTAACACTCTGTGCTACTTCTGTTGCTGAGATGGAAATTATATATGCCACCATCTATCAAGATGATCTTACAAGTCAGTAGTGATAGACAATTCTCATCATTCTGTGAAATATTTGAGAAATATTTGTGTAGGGGATTACTACTAGCTACACTTTATAGCTTCCATCATCATCATCAGTCGGTTGCAGCACAGGCAACTGCAAAAGCCGTCCACTTCTCCTTGTCGCCATACAAAGTCAATATTCAAATGAAGGACATTGCCTCCAATTGACTTATAAATTAACAAATAAATAAATAAATTACAGCTTTAAATTGAACAGAAAGAAAGGTTTATGTCATATAAGCAAATAAAATGATGAAATTGAAGTCCCTGGGCCTGCAAACCAGTCTTTATAATAAAGTTTATTGCTCATTACACAGGTACATGTTGGGAGAGAAGGGTCATGTGCCCAGTATGGTATGGTGGCAAAGGAGGAGCTGGAAGAAGGAGAATGTTTGTTTAAGGTGGACAAGACTGCTGTTCTCAGCACAGAAACTACTGAAATTGCACATCTCCTGAAAGAAGGTGATTTAATAAATGCAATGAAAAAAATAAAATAGATTTAGTAAAATTGACAAAAAAAACTGTTCTAGCAAGGTATACGATCTTATACAAAAGTTACTTATACAGTGTATATCCATATTTTATGCTATTAAAAGTCCAATAATTATAAGTTGTAACATTATGTCATTTGCCTATTTATCACTATGAGTATGACCAGGTGCATGAAGTATGGTGAAATAGAAAGTTGGAGTCTGTTTCTGTTTTTCTACTGAACAAACTTGTCCTTCCCTGCCAGGAGAGGTCAGTCTGCACAGTGACAGCGGCTGGGTGCCCCAGATACTGGCACTGATGTATGAGTACACCAACCCCAAGTCCAGATGGAGGCCATACCTGCAGCTGGTACCAGACTTCTCAGAACTAGATCAACCCATGTTTTGGACAGAGTAAGATTTTTCATGGTCGTGACTTTTGATACATGGAATGAGCTGTTTTGATATTTGCATAGTCGCCGAAGACCACGGTTGCATTGCAGCTTCTCTTTGATTGTGTACAGGCATAACTTGTGCAGAAGAATGGACAGATAGAGAAACCCATAAAGGCATGAAAATTGAACTGCACTTGTCCATTATGGAGTTAGGACATCCATATCTACCTACTTTCCAGATACAGCTGCAGTTTGCTTGGTCATCACCACTTGTTAGCCTATGTATGGACTCAATGAAATAGCCAGTAGAATCCATTTGAAAAATTATGGTGACAATCAGTGGTAAATAATACACACTTCCTCAAACAATGTTTCTTGTGATGAATTCATATATCTTCTTGTATTACAGAGATGAAATAGAAAAAGATCTGTGTAATACAGGCATACCAGAAGCTGTCAAAAGTGACTTAACCAAGATGAAGCTGGAGTATACTTCATTAGCGCTACCATTCATCAAGAAGCACAGCCACATCTTCAGGTAGAAGTGGATTCCTTTGAAAAAGTTGCCCATCCCTTCTGATTTATTGTGTTAATTTCCTGGCTGTAATAGTTTGTTTTACCTTCATACTAGTAATACCTTAGGACAAATGAACCCAAACTATTATAACCATTTGTCATGAACGTATGAACGTCTCTTTCAGTGAGGAGGTACACTCCTTTGCACTATACAAGAGAATGGTGGCCTTTATAATGGCATACAGCTTCTTTGAACCAGTGAGTGATGAAGATGGCCAGGGGGATGAGGGGGGCAAGTCATCCTTGCCGCTGATGGTTCCCATGGCTGACATCCTGAACCACATTGCCAAGAACAATGCCCACCTGGAGTGGGACAAGGACTGTCTGAGGATGGTGACCACCAGGCCAGTGGCTGCTGTGAGTTATCAGTACCTGCAGCAGGTGGTCCTATCTGGAGCTTACTGCAGAACTTTAGTTGGCAAAGAAAAGGCTCCAATAATATGAATTATGATTGGGTTAACTCAAGGTTTAGCTATTTTTGTTTCCCAAGTGGATTTTGCCAGCTCAAATCACTGTGTATTTCATGTCTATTCCAAGCAAAGGCAAGACAATGATGGTGGGAGGTGCTGGCATTGATGATCCACCATATCTGGTCCATTGTTCCCCAAAACATCATACAGTACAGATCGCGGGATAAGCATCATCGGGATTCGGGATTTTGCGGGAGATCCCGCGGGAGTTTGCGGGATATCACGCGGGAGACTGCGGGATATCCCGCGGGAGTTTGCGGGATATCACGCGGGAGATTGCGGGATATCCCGCGGTATTCTTTCGGGAGGCCTGTCGTGTCCCGCGTACCGCGTAGCGAAAAAACTTGGTGCGAGACCCCGAAGTCTGCCGCGGCTCGGAACGGCGATGGCGGCGTGTCAAATGTTTATTTTTACGTCCTGCCGGGCGATCTGTGCCGGGCCGATGGAGTCTGACGCCAGTCAACTTTGCTACAATTTTGCTACAATTTTGATGGTGTTGAAGCATAGGAATGTACGAAAATAATGTGTATAAGGTGTTTCTCACGCGGTCATAGTTATTATAAAACTGCTACTTTTTTTTGAAAGCTATTGTTCAGCGCAAACTTTAACTTTAAGAAACTACCGTGAATGAATACAATGTAACGTGTAGTAATCCCTCCGTCTCCGGTAAATTCGGCAAGATTGTTACCAAGAAATAAAAATTATGAGGCGTACCGGCAGTAGTTTGTGGTTGTGTTTCATAATCTTGTAGCTGTTGTCTTCTCATGGGTAGCTTGCGTCAAGAGGTCTCCGTATTAGTATTAAGAATTGCGACAATTAAAAGTTTGCCCATCAAAATCCCGGGGCGTGCGTCTCCCCCCTCCCCAAAAACTCTTGCATCAACAACGACCATGTCCATAATTAATTTCGATAGATTGCTATCACCCTGAAAGCAAGTACTTCCACGCGGCTGGCAAAGTTTCTTTCGGTAGGAAAACATTCTACTTCTGTCAGCTACGGGGTCAGCCAACTAGATGAAAACGGAGTCGATTTTTAACAGAACAACGCTATAAACTTAGCGCACGTCCAAGACACGGGAGAACCCGAAAAATAAATAAACACGGGAGAACCCGACCTAAACGTGTTTATGCTAAAATTGACGCAAATTAATTCGTTCTCAGACCATAAAACTTGAAATTCACTCGGTACACTCCGTGGAACTAGCCTCCTCACATGTGAAAAACGTTGTTTTGGGATGAAATTGGGATATAAGAAAATTACAATGCCGCATGCCGGCCGTGCAGGGCGGAAAAAGAAGCTACAATCCGACGTACGTATAACAATCGTCAGGCGGTGTTTCTGTGGGGCGGCGCATCTGACTCAACTCTTTGAATTCGCGGCCCGGCTGGTGGGCGGGTCCCCATCTGCGCGCTGTGATTGGCGCGCCAGAACGCCACGTGGTCAGGCGGCGCCGGGGAGTCTGCCAGCGCCGCTGCTGGCGACGTGCGGTTTCTATGGCGACGCGGCGTGGGAACGCCCGGCCCAACACTGGGGGTCTGCATGCCCTTTTTCGTAAGGCGTAATCATTGGTTTATTGGTTGGTTTAATCAGGCGTTTTTTAATTCATTATCTTCGTAAACCGTAGGCAACCTTCCCTAAAATCAACGTAATTCGTAATCAGTACATTAGCCGCAAAGCGTAAAGTCGTAATCAGCTCTGAAACTTTAACTTTATAGCGAAAATTTTGCGTAATTCGTAATCACTAACCCCCATGCAGGCCCTGAACACTGCGTGGCGCACGAAATGTATCAAAGTTTGAGGCGTAAAGAACCCTTGAATTATGCTTCGCCCCCTTGTTTTACACAATGTTTAATCTCTCTTCCGTAACTCCATACGTCAACCTCCCCTATCTAGGAGAAAAATAAAGAACTCGAGTGGCGATTTGGCACGTCGATGCGTTAGATTTTTTAAAAATTATATCTGAAATAGCGCGGGTCGGGTGACATCAA